GGGGTAAAAATGGGAGTTCATAACCCACTTGAATCAAAATGTGGAATATGATATATCAAGAACTATGTAATGTTTTGAACAACCAATAATAAAAATTAAAAAAAAATAAAGTTCAAGTGGCTTTTTTTTTTTTTTCATGGATTGACACTGCCATTTAAAACACCTGATTACCCAAACAAAATGCACTGTGCCACTGCAGACCCTGGGCTTCAGGTGCACACGGGAGATGGGTCCTGAAACTAGGACACATGGGGAGTCCGGGAGGGTTGGCCTGGAATGGGGGCCTCGCTGGCAGACTGTTTTCTAGAAATGCCTTTTTTTTTTTTTTTGCTTTTAAGATTAATTTTAGATTCCAGGAGAGATGCAAGGAGAGTGCAGACCATTTCACAGGCCCAGTACCTGGTTTCACCTGTATTCATTTTTATACCACTGTGGTATGTTGATACATTATTATTAACTAAAGTGCATACTTTTTCTGAATTTTCTTAGTTTAAAAAATATTTGGCTATATCTTTTTGATATACATATTTAAAGAAATTTCAACTTATATATAAAACATTGAAAGTTGTACATGTTAACGGGGTACCATGTAATGTCTGATACCGTGTTTGCTTTAAGTAATGTTTGAGTCAGGTTATTTATCTCCTCACACATTTCTCATTTCTTTATGATGAATGCTTCCTAGTTTTTACCTACTGTCTTTATTTATTCATTTATTTTTGGCACAGGGGATTGAATCCAGGGGAGCTTAACCACCAAGCCACATTCCCAGCCCTTTTTATTTTGATTTTGAGACCTACTATCCTTTTCTATTCTGGGAATCCACCTGGGAGATCCACACCTCTCTTAGTCCTCACGTCTCCACAGGCTGCTCCTGGCTCTGACAGATTCTCAGACTCCTTGTTCTTGACGAGCCAATTTGTGAAGCACTGGGTGGTGTTTTGTGGAATGTTCCTCAATTGGGAATTGTCTGATGTTTTCCTCATGCTTCAACTGGGACAATGAATTTTTGAGAGGAATAGCAAAGAGGGAAAGTGCCTGTCTCATCACACTGAAGAGAAGACACTGTCTACTACCATTTTAGACAAATTCTATTTTGCATTTCCAATGTGAGCGCTCAGTGCTCTTTCAAACCCCAATGCTCCATTGCTCCTTAGTGGTGGTGATGGACGCCCCATTCATGCTGACTTGGCCTCTGCCTGACAGACTGGGTCTGAGGGATGGAGGGTGGCAGGAGGCAGGGGTCATATGGTTGGAAAGAGACAAGAACTCGGTGTGCGGAAGGAGTTCCTGCTGGGGCCTCCCATCATTGAGGGAAACAGGCTCTGGGCAGTCCTCATATAGCACTGAGAATCCTCTTTAGGACAATTCACCCCCACCTCCCTGTATCCTGGCAGGCCCTGTATCCTCTGTATTCCACCAGCACCCTGTCTGCCCCTCCCCGCCCTCTCCCAGGTCCCCCTCCCTGTCCTGCCGACCCTTCTTCTCACTCAGGGGTGGGACAGGGCTGGTACTGTTGAACCCCTTGCCTCTGCGACATGGCGGCGGGTCCACTGGCAGCCAAGGGAGGGGCTGAGGGGCGCATGGTCCAGCCAGCTTGCGAGACCCTGGCCTGAGTATATCATCAAACAGTAAAAGCATTCATCCCCCAAGACCATGTAGCCTAAAGGAGACCTTTAGAGCAGCAGGGACAGGTTAAGGGGAAAGGTAGGAAGCTCCCCTGGGTACTCTAATGGGTCGGCCGTTCTCCACTCACCTCTGGTTGGAGAGAAGCTGGGACTGGTCCTGCTGGGATTCAGAGCTCTGGGGAGAGGGCTTCGCGTGATCCAGGGAATTCGCTGCTGGAGAATCTACCTGTTGGTCCAAGAAGGGGTTTCACAGCGTTAGCCTGAATCTAATGGCTCAGGAAGATGTTCTTGATGTCATTCTTAAGGAGGAAAGGCCAGCTATTACAGTTATACAATGTGTGGCCCAAAATAAATTTAGACATAGTTATGACCATAATGTTGGGTCTCAAATTATTATCTTCAGATGGTAGTTTTATGGGTAATTTCCTTTCTTTTTTCTTTCCTTTTTTATTAGTGTGTTATAATAATACATAATAATAGGATTCTTTGTTAAATATTTGTACAGGCACACAATATAACATTATATATTATGTTGTTGTCATATATAATTACATTGATATAATTATATAACATTATTTATATTCTATATAAATTATATGATAATATAATTTGTTTAGTTTCTTTACCTAGGGCCTCTCCTTATAAGCCATTTTATTTTTTATTTTTATTTTTTTTTAATATTTATTTTTTAGTTTTTGGTGGACACAACATCTTTTATTTTATTTTTATGTGTTGCTGAGAATGGAACTCAGTTCCCCGCGCATACCAGGTGAGCGCGTTACCACTTGAGCCACATCCCCAGCCCTTATGGGCCATTTTAAATTTTTTCTGTACGGTTTGCTTTGCTTTCCAAGTTTTCCAAATTTAACATACATTATTTTTGTAGTTAGAAAGATAGTGTGTAAAATGTGATCTGACGATTCTCTAGAAATCCTTCCTGGGTTTGCTTCTCCTTGTCTTCAAGATCCTCTTTGAGCACTTCATGTAGGGAACAGCTCTGGAGTTCATGGGTCTCCACTGGCCTGGGGAGCAAGGCTCACAGCCCAGCTGAGCCAAGGCCAAACGCCCCAGGATCCGCCCAGAACCCCGGGGCATGGAAAGCTTTTGAGAAGGCGCTGCAAGGCCACAGCAAGGAGGTTCCTGCTGACCTCCCATCTTCCTGGGAGTTGCCACACAACAGATTCTCGTCACCTCCCTTGTTCTGATAAGGTCTGGGCCTTGTGCCTCTGCCCACTCAGGACAGTTACAGTATAGGCTGCAAAACTGCTCAGCTGCAGCAGAGAATGGGCTCTCCTGCAACAGGGTGTCCCACCACCCCGCTGCCATCACCTGGCATTGTCTCATATTGTAGACTATGGGGACAGGGGACAAGTGGAGCTGAAACTCTTGGCTACTCTGCTCTCATTGTCCATGTAAGCAGTAACCTATCTGAATCCAGCCTTGCCTGGACACTTCCTGAGTCATACTGGATGACCTCATCCACTGTTCAGTGGCTCAGCTCTCTTGGGTCTCAGCTGGGGCCAAAGAACTCAATCATGTTGAACTCGCTAGGAGGGCTCGGACCTGGAGTCACAGACAGAACCCAGGGCGCTGTGGCTGTGGTCGGGCATCAGTTTTACCTTTATTTTCCCAAACTTCTACTGGAAATTAACAAATATAGATAATAAGCCACAGTAGTGTTAGCAGGGCCTGTGACATTGCCACCAAGAAATCACACATATTCTCCTATCATCATAGTTGGCTCAGAAATATAGTGTTCATCATGACTTTGAAGTTATGGCAAACATTGATAACATTTTATCGATAATAAGACCCCTAGATCTTATCAATACATTTAAACGTGCTGTACATATTGTTATGCTTTGCTCTTAGACTATTCTGACACCTACATTTCAATCTAGTTGGTTTTCTTTGTTCTCCTGTGAGTTTATTTTGTGCACATATTCTTCTGTATTGTCCTGTCACATGGCCACTAGGTAGCATGCTGGCTATTGCTCGGCTCTGTGTCCTTGGGCAGATATCCTCCCTGGCTCTCCAGCTCCTTGTTCTTAAAATGAAGGGATCAGCCTGGGAGGCAATCGTGAAGGGTTCCCCAGCCACACGAGTGGCGTGACAATGTGCACTTTGTCACTTCCGTGGTACCACAGCTGAGGAGTTACCAGAGGACAGCTGAAACCAGGATTTACACTGACACTTCTAGTGAGTTATTTTAGCCTTTATGATATTACAGAGCCCTCAAGGAACGAGAATAGGAAATATGCAAAAATTAATCTGCAGATATATTTTGAGTGAAAGACTAGGAGCAACCTTAACAGTCAAGAACAGATGGGTTAAATAAATCAAAATATATTAAAATGTATTCATAAGACAGAACAGTAAGCTCCAGGAATGCTATTGTAGAATAACAGAAAAACAATTATTTAAACAATTAAGTAAAGAAAAAAAATATTTTGATATTTGAGGACCAATATGATTATATTTTTTTAAAAAATATATTGATATATATGTATATATTCAGAGAAAAAAGATAAAATAATATAAGACTAACATGTTAATTGGTTATATTAATTAGTTATATTAATATTAATTGGTTATCCTTAAGGGGAGGGATTAAAGTAATTTTTACTTTTCTTTGAGTTTTCTGTATTTTCTAACATTTCTATAATTAACATGCATATATATGACTGTATCTGAAAAACAATAAATGTGAATGTGTGGAGTCTCTTACACAAAGCAATGGTGGCAGACCCCCTGGTTTTGGGAAGCTGCATCTCCCATCCTTGCTATCCCATGGGTCATGTGAGGCGCAGGAGCAAGGAAACCATGAACCCTTGACCTTCTGTGTTCCTAGTGTTGCAGTAATTCACTTGCAGGTCAGCATGAGAATATACTTTAGAAGCTATAGGAGTCCAATATCCTGCTGAAGTTTTGTTAGCATCAGTAAAAACAGTAATACCGGAAAGAGGAATCGAAGAAATAGGGTTTACTAATATCATAGAATGTTTTCTAAAAAATTCAAAGACTTTAGATTTAGGATATTGAGTAGTTAGAGCTCCAGAATAGCCAGCTAAAGCAATTTGCCAATTATCATTTAATTATAAATTGTAAGAAATTTGTTGCTGAGTTATTTGAGTAATAATTTGATTTGGCTCTCTACCACTCAATTGTAACAATCTAGATCTACCTTTAATTATTAAAAAGGCTAGTTTATCCATATATGTAGTTAATCGTTTATTATACTTATTAGGTAAAAAAATCCATTCTATTATATGATCATTTTGAGTTAGTACTCCAGACGGGGAGTGAGGAGTATGGAAGAGAATTAGTTGTACAGATTTTTCTAAGTCTATATAAGACAAATATCCTTCATTTAAACATTGTTCAACTAAAGTTAACTCTTGTAATGCTTGTTTAGTTAAAGTTCTAGGACTATGTAGTTCAGAATTACCTTCTAAAGTAGCAAATAAATGAACAGAAATTCGTGAGCCTGGGGGGTAAAAGCCCCTCCTTTTCCTGTCTCCTGACAGTCTCCTCCCCAGCTGCCTTGATGCGCCCTAGACCATACCTGCAGGTGAGTGGCCTCTTCTGCCCACCAGGCTTCAAACTCTTTCTGCAGCTTCACCTTGGCTTTGTCCATGAGCAGCTGCAAGTGCTCGATCTCTACCTTCAGGGCCTTCAGGCGGGTGAACATAATTTTGTACCTGCAGTGGGATCAGGAAGAGGTGGTGTCACATTCTTTCGAAGGTCACTGAATCTCAGAAGCCTGGCAGTGCTGCCCGGTGCCTGGGGCCTGGGACCTGGGACCAGACTGAAGCCTACCAAGGCCAAGGTAGGGCACCAGGGTCTAGTCCATCATATAGAAGCAGACGGAGGCATTTCTGCCCAGCAGGGTTGGGAATCCATAAGGGAGATGAAGAAACCCTTTTCAAGAGTGACAACCAACTTTTTTTTTTCTCCAGTGCTGGGTATTGAACCCAGGGCCTCCAGGATGTCAGGCAAGCACTCTACCAGGGAGCTATCCCCAACCTGTGATCTACTTCTTTTATTGAGCACTTAACTAACCGGGCAGGCATTGCTGTAGGCAGCAAACATATACCAGCTCATTTAAATCCCTGGCACAGATTCAGAACCAGAGGCATGGAGAGGTCAGATAATGTGCCCAGGCAATGTGTTCCATACACAGAACAAACAGAGAAGCCAGGATTTGAACCCAGACAGTCTGGCCTAGAACCACAGTCTGCCATCTGCTGGTTCATCTTCGTGGTAAGGACCCAAAGTTAAATGTCTGTTGGGGATATTGGGAATGCTACACCAAATCAGAAATAGTCCACCAGAAACAGTCCAATAGCCGAGCTAATGAGACAATGTGCCTTCGGAGGTGATGCTGAGATTGGAAATGTAGACCGAGGGGATAAGACTGGTGGAATAATGGGATGACATGAGAATAATGGGATTTAGGAAGAAACAGGATAATAAACAGCAAGGCAGAAGGTGGACAACCGGGGCATAGACCAAGGGGCTGGAGAGCAATGGCCGTGAGTGTGGAAGGACATTCTGGAAGAAGACAGAGTGCCCTGCTGTCAGGAGTGGCCTGGAGACCAGAGCCAGGGGCTTTGTTCTCCTGGGGTGTGTGAGTGGGGCGGTAGGTGACAGAGTTTATCAGGGTGATGTCACATCAGCCCAGTGCGGGGTGCTGGGTGGGGACTGTGATGCAATGACCCCATCATCCACTTGAGGCAGGGAAGGGGGCTTGCTCAGTCTCTCCAGACCCTCTCCAGGGCAAGGAGGAACTAGCCGACATGTTGAATGCATATAGAAATGAATGAACTAAGCTGCTTGGTTGGGGTGATGAGGGAGATTCTGTGATAGCCACATGTATGTTTATGCATGGAGATCCGTACAGTATAAGTAAAATAATTCTGGGCCCCTGAGAGGCTGTGTGGAGGTGTGAAGGTGTGACCTGGGAGGGAAGCTGCAGAGGAGACCACCATGGTCATATCTCTTGCTGCCTCTAGGTGGCAGCAGTAGACAACACGAGCGGCTTCTGGGGCCAGGGGTGGCTGGTCAGCATCCTAACCTCATGGCCCAAATGCAGCTTGTGGCTTCCTGCCCCGTTTTGCATTTGGCTGTGGTTCCAGCCCTGGGTGCCTTCAGGTTGTCCTTAAGGCCTAAGGAGGCAGGGGTCAGGCTGTGTATGGAAAAAAAAATGGGCACCTTCTCTTCTCTTCCTCCAGTTGTGATCGCAGTCTGTCTTCCTGGTCTGGTGTCGAGGGAAAGGCCACGTTTTCTGAGACTCCTGTAGAAGGAAGATGTTGGTGGGTTACTCCAAGAGGAAGAAAGGCAGAAGGAAGAGCACGAGATAGAGCCCACGTGCATCCCCAGATGAAAGGGGACCCGTGTTTCCTCTGTGGCCTCTGGATGGCAATCTCTGATCGCTTCTAGGATTGTCCTCCCTGCTGTCCCCCCACTGCCCAACACCTGTCACTGGGAGGGAATTCTCTCCACCTCTACTAATCCTCTTACTATTGAGCTCAATTATTTCCTCCTGAGTCCTCAGGGAAGATGCAAAACAGTATTTCCTCTTCCTCTGAGAAAGAGCCCTCCACACCCCAAGGGTCCTCTCTAAATGGTCACATCTTTCTTTGCACCAATTTTCCAGCTTCAGAAGCATGTCTTCTGCTTTCACTTCCCTCTAACGCTTGGTTCTCAAGCCGGATCACACAGGTGGTGTTCATATGGAACCAGGGCCGAGGAGGAGCCTTGGCAATGTGCCTGTGGCATTCAGCAGTGACCAGCAGGGGCTGCATCCCGAGTCCCCCAGGCTGACCACGTCCTGCTCCCACGTGGCTGCCATGGGGAGCCTGGCTGCCTGTCGACACCTGGTCCTGTCCTTGCCCAGTGTGTGGGGGCTGTTCATTCTTCTGGAAGCTTCTTTATGGTTGTGTTGTGTCTCTTAGCCCCAGAGAGGACACCTTAGAAGCCACAGCACCCTGATTTTTATTCCATGGGGGGCAGAATGAGTCCACACTGAATGGTCCCAGTATTTTCTGGGCATGACCAGACTTAATTCTTATAGTACTTATTTGAGACACATATTATTTCCATTTCATGAGAAGGACACTGGGGTTCAAAGAGGTTAAACTGCCCGGGTCATGTGACCAACTTCAGGAAACTGGATCCAGATCCAGGTTTGTTTTCTGGCAAGGACCTTGGATTAAAAAAAATTCCTTCTATGACATTTCTGACAGATGGTCATGCGATTTCTGCTCAATACTTGCAGTGATGGGGAGCTCAGTACCTTGCAGGAGAGCATCCTCCACTGCAGACTGCACCGTTTCTCTCACTTCAAGCTGAGACCTTCCCCACTGACTTCTTTTCACCTCTACTCTGGTTCTTTGTATCAGCATAGAACGTCCTTCTTCTTAATTTCAACAAGAACAAAATAGAACTTGTGTCTGGAGCTTTATCTCAGGCTGGCTCTGCCCGATTCATCATTAGCTGGTTATTTTCTTACTTACCTTACATACAAAGCCTAGGCCTGACTTCACAGAAGAAATAAAAATGGCCAACAAATACATGAAAAAATGTCCAACATCCCTATCAATTAGAGAAATGCAAATTAAAACTACACTGAGATTTCATCTCACTCCAGTCAGAATGACAGTTATCAGGAATACAAGTAACAATAAAGTTGGTGAGGATGTGGGGAAAAGGCACACTCTTACATGGCTGGTGGGACTGCAAATTGGTGCAATCACTCTGGAAAGCAGTATGGAGATGCCTCAGAAAACTTGGAACGGAACCACCATTTGACCCAGCTGTCTCACTCCTCAGTTTATACCCAAAGGACTTAAAACTCAGCATTCTACAGGGACACAGCCCCATCAATGTTTATAGCAGCTCAATTCACAATAGCTAAGCTGTGGAACCAACCTAGGTGCCCTTCAACAGATGAATGGATAAAGCAAATTTGGTTTATATACACAACGGAATATCACTCAGCCATAAAGAAGAATTAAACTATGGCATTTGCTGGCAAATTGACGGAACTGGAGACTCTCATGCTAAGTGCAATAGGCCAGTCCCCAAAAACCAAAGGCCAAATGTTCTCTCTGATATGTGGATGCTAACACACAATAAGGTAGGGGGAGGGAAGAATGGAAGTTCATTGGATTAGACAAAGGGGAAGGAAGGGAAGAGAAGGGGATGGGAATGGGAAAGACAGTGGAATGAATCAGAACTTTCTTGTGTTCATAATTAGGATAAGTTAAACTCCTTGTATGTAAACTATGTCAAAATACACTCTGCTGCCACATATATCTAAAGAGAACAAGGACAAGAAGCCTAGGCCTGGACATGACACTCCACGTAGGTCTGAGAGGTTCAGAGGAGACAGGGCTCCTCGTAACTTTAAAAATACTTGCTCTATATTTCTGTGTGGATGGATTACCAACAGCGACCACGAGCTGAGTGCTTTCTACTTACAGGTTCTGGCCAGTTGAACTTGGCACTGGGCAGATCCTCTACTCAGCTTATTGCTCGTCAAAATTACCTGCCGGGACGTCGTGGCCACTCTCATGCGGTCAGGGTCTTCGTCCAGAGAGGGCCAGAAACAACCCAGGGTCTCCCGGCTGCTAAGTGGTGAGCTGGGATTTGAACCCACTTCCCCCCTTGGTTCCAAGCGTTCGGGCCTCGGCAGGCAGGCACCCTCCCCTGTCCAGCAGGTCTGTCCCGGGTCCCCTCCTTAAAAGCTCTCATGTTTTTTGGGCAGTTGTCCAAGTGCAGCCCCAATTTCCGTGTGATCGTCCTTTTGGTCCCAGCTGCAACCCTTCATGTTTACAGGGGGTCTAGTCCCCTGAGAGGGCCTCGTTCTGTCTCGCCATTATTCTTTTCCCTTTGGCTACCGTAGTAGAGGCTAGCTGTCCCTTTTGTGTCATTGATTCATTGATAAATACACTAAATGAATCACAATCCTGTCCTTTACCTCCCAGCATCGGGCTTCCTCTTTTCTTTGTGTGAAGTGTCAACCGGCTCAGCAAGTGTCTTATCCTGTCATCTAAGTGAGGAGACGCAGATCCCAGGGACCTCCCAGCTGAGGACTATCCTGTCATCCGCTGGCCCTGGCGAGGCAGACTGCCTGTCCCCACCACACCTGCGCCCCAAGTCCCCCGAGCTTTGTTCAGATTCCGCGTGCAGGGTATGTTCAGTGCCATGCTCATTTGCTGGCCCTGTCCTCTTTGAAAAATCCCAGACCTGATAAGCGGAAGCGAGTACCTGCACATCAAACTAAAAGCAGCAGGACTCTAAGTGGGAGGAATGTCTCCTCTCCTGAAAGCCCCAGCAATGGGCCCATCTATGGTCTAGCCTGCTGATAAAGAACTGGGAATGCTCCTTCTCCTTCTCACACCTTTTGACCTGCACCAGGGGGACCCCTGAGCAATTCTGTGAAGCCCCGCTCTCTGGGGCCTGGCTGCAGGTCCTGGCTGTGGGAGGGGAGTGAAGGAGGGTTCTGGATTTGCACAGGGGGCATCTCATCTGGCTGGTGGGGGCCGTCTGCTGGGCCTCGGGAAGACAGCTTGGAAGGCTGAGGCAGACTGGTCTTCCCTGTGAAGCCTGGGGCAGCCCAACACGAAGGCAGAGCCCCCCTGTGGGAGGGACGCTCTGGCCTCACCAGTGGCCGGCTGTCGCTTCTGTGGACATGCTGCAGGACATCCTGGGCACCTCACAGGGCTGGAAGGGCCTGGAAGAGTACTGGGGGGTCAGAGCCTCGGGCAAAGGGCAACATTCTGATGAAGGAGTGAAAAGATAAAGTCAGCTACTGTCTGCGGAGTCGCTGGGCACCTCCCACTCATTGCCACCACTCCACAGTCAGACCTTGTCACTTCTGTTGTGCAGGCAAGCAGATCAAGGCCTAGAGTGACGAGGGGGCAATGCCTACCTGGTGGAAGGGCCAGGCTTTGGACCCAGCCCGGCCATGCATGCACTACTGCACAACTGTTATTGAGTGTCAACCACGTGCCTGTCCCGTCCAGGATTCTGGAGGGGAGGAAGGACCCAGACCAAGAAAAAAATTGAGTCTATGATATGATGCGGCAGGTGAAGGGTGCTATGAGGAAAGACAAAGCTGGATAAGAACATTCAGGTAAGGCCCGGCGGCCATGCTAGGTAAGGGGGCTGAAGAGCCCTTCTGAGGAGGACATCAGAGAGAGGGACATGCATGAAGAGTGGGACAAGCACACAAAAACTAGGGACAGCGTACAGCAGCGAGTGCAAGAGGCCTGGGGTGCGGGCCTTGGAGGTGCAGACCAGCGATGCAGAGAGCGGGAGCTGAGGTCAGCGAGGAGACGCGGCCAGACCTCAAGGACCCGGTGGGCCAGGCTGAGGCCTGCGGCTCTGAAAGAGATGACAGGCGGCAGGGACCTGGGAAGAAGAAAGGGTGGATCTATTCCTTTAGAGGTAAGTCAGGCAGCTTTCTGCTGCTCCAGACAAAGCCACTCCAAACTGAAGAATAGCTAATGCCGTGTGGCGCCAGGATGTGGAGCCCTGTTGAAAGGACCGGGGAGAGAAGGCTGGGGCAGGGGACCCTGGGAACCAGAATGAGGGCACAGTGTACCCCCGAGACACAAGCTACCCACGTTGCCAGGACAACCAAGTGGGCCCGTGGCCAAAGGTGATGTTTGCTTGGTGAAGTGCATTGTCACCACCGGGAGCCAGCCCTGGCTGCTTCTGATGTTCTTTGTGGCTGGGTTTCAGTCCTTTCTGAAGAGGAATAGGGCTGGGAACTCAGGGAGGCAGACAAAAGCTACCGAGCAAGAACAGAGGGCAGAGCTGCTAAAGGGCATTTGGGCTTTGTAGGTCTCTGTCCCCTCGGGCACACCTGGGACAGAACCTCCAGTCACCTGGCAGGAGGCACAGGGAGCCCTCCTTTCAAGGACAGGATTCTGGCTGGGACAGCAGCACCGGAGGCCACAGTCCTGCGTGGTCCACAAGGTCACACTGCTAGTCTGTGGGGGCATCGGCTCCAAAGTGACACAAAAGCAAGAAAAAAGGGTTTTGTTTGATGCTGGCGGCTGTAGATCTGAATGTCACCTAAGGGGGAAGCCCTGATCAGTCAGGGTAACTGACACTCCAAGCCGGCAGGAAGCAGGGGGGTGGGGACGCACAGTCCCAGGCTGACCTTATCTCTGGTCTCAGGTGTTTGGGAACTAGCAATTCAAGGACAAGAGGGGCTCTTGCTGAGAAGGTCCCCTCCCAGGGACACAATCCCAGCTGGAAGGCCTCTGAAGCTCCCCTCCC